GGTGATTTGTTGGGATGATTTATCAGGGTGATTACTTCATGATTACATAAAAGTCTAATTACAGGGTTCTATGCCTGAAACTAATATAATATTGTGCTCCAACTGTAATTTTTATTTAAATTATTTTATTGTTGTTCAAATACAGTTGTTCAACTGTAATTTTTTAAAACGTAAATAGCTATATTTTGTTTATTTTTTTGATGCCTTCGTAGTGTCATTGGTTATTCTGGAGTGTTTTGGTGTTTTTTTTATTTCCACATATTTTCAGATTTCCATTTTCATCTTCTTATTGATTTCTGGTTTCATAGCATTGTGGTCAGAATGCTGGTTTCCTCTTCTTGATAAATGGGCCCCCCTTATCATTACATATTGACCTTGTCTCTTGTTCCAGTGTGTGGCTCAAAGTCCATTTTGGTCTCCACTTGCACAGAATGTCTTTCTCCATCTCCTCACCTGTGTGTCTATGAAACCGAAGTGAATCTCTGGCAGGCAGCGAACATGGCGTCTTCTGTTTTAGCCGTTCCATCCCTCTGTGTCTTCTCACTGGTGAATTCAATCCATTTACATATAGAGATCCTATGGATATAAGGACTAAGGCCACTCACTTAATTGCTTTCCAGTTGTTTTGCATTTATATTGTTTCTTTCGCCCCGTGTTCCTGCCTACCTTTTGCACACTGGTGTTTCCCACGGTGCCTGGCTCGCCTCCCCCTTCTCTGTCTCCTGTGCGTCTCCTCTGGGTTTTCGCTTTGTGTGCACCAGGAGTCTAATGTAAGATATCTCACAGATAAAGTGGTCCAGTTTGAGCTGTCTGTAACAAAACTGTGACCATCTACAAAAGCCTCGCCCTTTTCTTATTCCCCTTTTTATATTTTGATGTCATCGTGCGCCTTTTTTCTATTGCTTATTTATGAACAAGTTATAGTAGCTACAATTATATTTAGTGCTGTGTCCTTGGACCTCGGCACCACAGTTACGTGACAAACACGCCATCCTATCAGATCTCTAGTCTGACGGGATATTGGCCTGTCTCAGTCCGTGACGTATTTCTGTCTGCTTTCCTGTCATTGATTACATCATTCCATTTCAGCTGGAATACCTCCTTTCAGTGTTTCTTGTAAGGTAGGTGACAAATTCCTTCCACTCTGTCTGTCTAGGAAGGGTGAAAAATGATATGTGTGTTCCGGCAACAAGTTCCGTGTGGGATGTGAGTACTAGAGATGTCTTGCCCACGCCTTCACCGGGGTTTCCACTCTCTTAGTCGTGCTGCTGAAGAACGAACAGTGTTAACTGAATGACATGAACCTTATGAATTTTTAAAAATGCTTTTGCTTTGCACATCACAGGTAACTAACCTTTCTTATTCCCAAGTCATAAAAGCATACTATGCTGTCTTTTAGAAATGTTATCGTTTTCATCTTCACCTCCAGCCTACAGTCCCCTTTGAATGTGTGTGTGTGTGTGTGTGTGTGTGTGCGTGAAGTAGAGGCAACGGGGAGAAAAATGCAACTGAGTAGAGGACCCAGAATTGGAGGGAAGTGCTAATTAAAACTCAGTGTGTTATGTAAGAGCCATCTCAAATTAGCTGAGAAAAACGGAAACTTTTCAATAAATGTTGGGCTAATCAAGTAGCCATAGAGGAATAGATTGAATTGCATCAATTTCTTACAAAGATCAATTCTAAATGGAGAATCTAAATGGTCATTTTCATGTGTATACATATTAGAAGTCATGGGTGAATGATTTTCTAACTTGGGGCATAAAAAGTGGCTAGCCTTCATTAATTATTTGGAAAATGCAATATGCCCTTCACGCCCACTGGCCCAGCTGAAACTCCAGTGACCAGCAACCACTGGCGCGGGGAAGTGGCGGGGAAGTGGCGGGGAGGTGGACTCCTGCAGAGCACAGGGGCGGCTACAAACCAGCCCCACCACTTCGGCCAACGACTTCACAGTTTTGTTCAGAGTTTTGCGTACGCTATCCCCATGACTCTTAACTTTTACTTTTCATTACCTACCCAACAGAAAGGAGTGTATATGTCCACCAAAAGTTTATATAAGAATTCTATGGTAGCTTTGCTCACTAGAGCCCAAACCTGGACAGAGCTTGATGTCCCTCAATAGGCAAATTAATTTAATAAATTGTAGTGTATGTATAGAGTGGAAAAAAGATCCACCTTGTGGTATAAGAAAAAACCTGCGTTAATCTTTAAAATGTTATGGTGAACCTGGCTGGCATGACTCAGTGGATTCAGGGCGGGCTGAGAACCAAAGTGTCGCAGGTTCGATTCCCAGTCAGGGTACATGCCTGGGTTGCAGGCCATGACCCCCAGCAACCGCACATTGATGTTTCTCTCTCTCTCTTTCTCCCTCCCTTCCCACCCTAAATATAAATAAATAAAATATTTAAAAAGTGAAAATCTTTAAAAAAAAGAAAAAAAATACAAAAAAGATAATATTAAAATGTCATGGTGAATAATAGAAACCAGTCTCAAGAGAGTACTTTCTGTATCATTTTATTTATAGTAGGTTTAAGAATGCGTGAAATTATCCCATGGTGATATACGTTGAAAGGACACCTGGGGAGTGGATGGCTGCCTGAAGAAACTTCCCGGGGCTGATGCACGTGTTCTATACTTTAATTAGAGTGCTGGTTCTACAGGTTTGCACATTTGTCAAATCACGTCAAATCGCATACTTCCAACAGATGATTTTATTGTGTGGGATTTGTACTTTAATCAAGAAGGTGAAGTTACTATATTCCTACTCATAATAAGTAATGGACCTAGTTTCTCATGATCAGGGAGGCCAACCCTGCGAGGCGAGAGACTGAAGGGAGAGTTTCCCTTGTGAAGTGGAATCTGAGAAAAACCCACGCGATCAGCTCGACATCGTTAAATCCGGGAAGCGCGAGCCTTCAGCCACTCCCAGCAGCGTCAGATGGCCCTCCCCAGATGAGCAGGTTTCCTTTATAAGACCTTGGCACGATGAGGGTATCGACGATCAATTCTGAAGTAAAGATAGCTAGCGAGTTTTTGAAGAATCCCATCAAAAACAATTTTTGGTTAAGATATTTAAATACTGGAGGGTTTGTTAAACAAGAACTCTGAGGAAAGCACGTGGTATATGACACCCGGAGTGAGCGTTCTTCACCGGGTACAAAGTAGGAGTTACCATTCCCGGTACACTGGACATAGTGGATGCAGCTAGAGGAAGCACCAAGGCCTTGTTACTGCTGCGGACTAAAGAGACGCAAGAGAAAAAGTCCATCAGTTTCACTGGGTGTCCAGTTAAACAGCAGAGATGAGTAAGTCCTGGTCCCTGCTCTTGCTGCGGTTTATAACTGGCTGGGGCAAATTAGAGAAACCATTAGAAGAGAGTGTCAAGAAAAGCATCCAGCCTTGGCCAGGTGGCTCAAGTGGTTGGAGCATCGTCCTGTGCACCACAAGGTCACAGGTTTGATTCAGTTGGGGGCCCAAGCCTCAGGTGCATGTTCCGTCCCTGGCTGGGGTGCGTACAGCAGGCACCAATGACTGTTTCTCTCCCACATCAACATTTCTCTCTCCCTTCTTTTCTCTCTAAAACCAATAATCATAAACTTGGGTGAGGATTATTTTTTAAAGTATCAATAAAGGGGCTAGAGTATTCAGAAGAGGGAGAATTTGGACAGCAACGGCATGGGTGCTGGGGAGGTGATAGTGGAGGTGGATGTCAAGGAAAAGGGGAATGGAGAAAGATGAGGTGAGGAGGAGGGAGAAAGGAGAGGAGCGATGAGTGTGGGGTGCACACCCTGACAAGCTGGCAAGGGCCGCTGTCACGAGTGTCTTCTTCCTGGTGTCGTCTTTCCTGTGAGTCGACCAGGAGACTGCTCAGCTCACTGCCTGCTGAGCAGCCCGGGTGCCAAGGAACAGGCAACAGTCACACACAGTAACTATGCTCTTCACTCAGCTTTCACTGAATGCAGGTTCACCCAAAGCAGAACACCACACATTCCTATCGTTCTCACACTTGAACAGTCAAAGAGAAATATCTCATATACACACACACAGCAATCAATGGGGGATGATGAGCCCGAGTCCCAGAATCTCCATCTGCAGGTCTGGCAGTCTGCACGGAAGTCGTCAGCGTCATGCAAGGAAACATCTCCGGAGCCAGGTGGGCAGTGGGGCAGGTGAGTCCTCAGTCCAGCAGGGCAGAGCCTCCGGGGGCTGATGCCAAGGGAGACCAGTGTGGCGCGGGGGCAGCACCTGGGGCGTGGAGCTCCGCCTGTCTCAGCAGTGGTCTGGAGCCTGCCTGGGTTATACCTTGAGAGTGGTGAACTCCACCCTTCCGGGCCCTTTCCATAAATGCCTTGACACCCCTGAGGCCAGGGGGTGGAATTTGCCCAGGAGCCCATGGGTGGTACACGGCTGTTCTGCTTGCTTGACAGCCTGGCTGGCAGGGGGGGAATTTCCCCAGCAGCCTATGCATGGGTGGTCCCACTTGGCAGACGCGGCTGCTCTGAACACCTGGGCACATATGTCTCCTCTCCAGACGCGTCTGCTCTGACCTAGGTCATTTTCCTCTTGAACCAAAGTGACATGACTGATTGACAGCCATGTTAGTTGGCATAAGTGACCCCGCTCTGTTTTAGACACTGTGTGCTACCTTGACCGGACCAAGGGCTTTGCACTGGTCCTTCTCCCCACAGCCATGTGTGAGCAAGGAAGGCCACAGAAGCAGGAAAGCCCTAATCTGCCGTGTCCCACTGACACTGGGGGGTGGATATCCTTTGTCAAGGCCGAGGAAATCATGCCTGAGTCTGCAGTGGACAATATCCACTGGGAAAAATAATGTCGTGTCCATAGAGGAAAATCGTGAGGGTCCCCATCCAAGGTGTTCCTATTTCTTGCTTCACTCGAGTAAAGATAAATTCATGTTTTACAGAAAAATAAACACTTGTGAATTTTTTAGCTGAGGAGTTCTCGTTTACCCTCAACGATCCAAGCGAATCACAAGGTTCTAGAATAGTCCTGTCAATGTTTCTGCACTGGGCCTCTCGGGGTCGCCTCCTTGGAGTGTGGTCGCGCCAGTTCCTGCAAGGGGGGACCTGCTGTGGAGAATCCTTCCCCTCCGACCAACAAAGGAGCCCAGTGGGGTGGGGGGTGACCAGGAAGGAATGCACGAGGGAGCGGGGCTACTACCAGAGTGGGCCAGGCAAGGACCAGGGGCAGGCAGAGGGCCAGGAGGAGAAGCATCAGTGACACTCTGGAGGGAGCCCTGGGGATGGCACGCACCTCCCAGTTTGAAGTTGCAGTAATTCTGGTCGCAGCACTCGTGGAAGAAATACCGACCGTGGTGCAGGAACTTCATGGCTCTGCAGAACCTCTGGCACACCATGTAGGACAGCAGGTGTTTCCGTCCTGGAGGAAGGAGCAGCCGCGGCAGTAAGTCAGTGACACGGTTCTCTGCAGACAAGTCAAACCCGGCACCTGCCCAGTCGGGGAGAATGTAGCCAGGCCCCAGGGCAGGTTTCAGGACCCTGTCCAGCTCAGACTTCTCCGGGAGGCCCCAGCAGGTGGCGCCGACACCACCGGCTCTGGCAGCGGCTGTTGGCCTGAGGTCCCTCACAGGCCTGGGCTCTCTGCCCAGCGGCTTCACTGCTTTCCCTGCCAGAAGATCAGCAGCCAGCGCTTTGGTGTCTGCAGAGCTGCAGTTCCATTGGCCAGTTTTCTGGGGAATGTGGAAACCCCGCCTTCTCTCCCCCTGTCGCATTTTCCTGATTCCCTTCTGTCTGCACCCACCAGCACCTGTGCTGGGTGCATTCTGCACCTCGGTCCCTCTCCTGGACGGGCTTTAGTCTGGGCTGTAAAATTGCTGAAGCACTCTCCTGAAGATGTTGTAAGGATCTCACCGCACCCCCCACCCTGGCCCTCCGGCTTACCGAAGTTGTAGACCTTTAAAGTCATACACTTCTCTTCCTCCTTAGCAACACAAACTCCAAAGCCACTTCTACAGCGATCTGAGGTCAGGTGAAGGTGGCAGGTTATGCACTTGAGCGCTGTCCCTGCTGGAGACCACAGGGCTGGCGTGAGGCCAGGGATGCACAGGCTGGCAGGGGCTGCAGAGACGCAGGTCTGAGGCAGAGGGCAGGTCTGGGGCAGAGGGCGGGTGGTGCGGGGTGGCAGGCAGTGGAGGAGGACCCAGTGGTGGGGGTCTGGTCATCGCCAACTCCACGCCCCAGAGAAATGCTTTCAGGAGAGGGAAAGGATTCTGGCCCCAACTGAAGCCATTTCTTCTGGGTAACTGAGCAAAGATCTAGTCTTCATGGCCTTGGTTTTCCAGTGTAAGCACGGGCTCATGAACGCCACCCTGGCCTGTTCGGCAGCACTGCAGACGGGCTGGCAGGAACGAGAGGCTGCGAGTGAGTGCTGCACGGCAGTTTTCCCAAGCCAGCGTTCCCATGACGGGGTTTCTGACCTTCGCTGCTCAGAGGTCCTTAGGTGGTAGAAGTTGCTATTCTGAAATCCAGCCTGAATCCTTGGGAAGGCCTCGGGAATGACAGCACAGGCTGGGACACTTTACCTGACACTGGGGAGCTCAACAAGGTAGAGGCTTGATTCTTTGGAAACACCTATCTCGGTGCACCCACGTGAGAAGACACAGCCGCAGTGGATTGAGCGTCTCACTGGGGCCACGTTCCCTTAGTCTGTAGCTGGCCCCACAGAAGCCTTGTGAGTGGGTGTGTCCCGGGTTCGCAGGTGAGCAGCCCAAAGCACAGCACACTAGAGGCAGTGACTGAGCCGTGGTTCTTCTATCTGATTGACTCAGAGTGCGTAGTATTTGCTCTCCTGAAATCACTTCTTTGCATTTTAATAGAAGGTCCCTGACAAGGATAGCAAAGACCATTGTCCAGCAAAATTATTTCCTAGACTGTGACCGGCTCCCCGAACATATGCATACAGACTTCCAAATGGAAAGTGCGTCCCAGGGAAAACCCTGTCGGGATTTCAGATTGTGGGGAATGGTAGGGAAAGGGGGGGGAGGGAGGCAGTGAGAAGGGGCGGCTGCAGAGGCCCCAGCCCCTGCCGAGAGTGTTGGCAGACCGTGGAAAGGGCAGGAAGCTGGCCAGGAAGGCAAAGGGCTGGCTTCGAAGGCTCACTTCCCCCTCCCTTAAATGTAGTCCAGGCTCAGCCCTGCCTGGGTCCCTGTTACACAGGTGAAGATTCCTGGGGGCTCCCTAAACCCATCTCTGGAGCCCACTCCTCAGCTCCGTGACTCACCCGCAAAGCAGCAGAACAGGAAGAAGACCAACAGGACGTGTCTGTCCATCCTGACGCAGAAGTCGCTTGCCCAGGGAGGAAAGAAGCCGGGGGTCAGCAAGTCCGGGTCCTTAGGCAACAGGCAGGAGACTGTCTGCAGGGCAGGGCAGGGGTCATTTATGGGCAAGGCAGCCAGCCAATCACACGAGGCTTCCCCTGGGAGCTCAGCTGGCTTCTCTCCGCCCCAGCACAGAACAATGAGGGCTGAGAGATAAATGCTGGCCTTTACACTAGGCTGCCTTTGGGGTTCATCCTAGTGGTTACAATTAGTATTACAGCCACGATATTACAATTCTTGTTCCAATTTCCCACAGCGGGCAACCGGGTCTTGGAGAGGTTTCAGTATCTCACTCAGGACACACCTCTGCCGACCGACGGTGCAGGTGCTCGGAGCAAGACCATCTGCCGCGAGAGGCTGCGCTCTCCCCATGCTGAGGCACGCCTCTCGGGATTCATCCGCACACTCGACACACACGCGCACGGAGCGCTGCGCGGCTGGGACGCAGGGCTCCAGCGGGAGAACAGGGCGATGAGCAGCTCAGACCAGCTCCCCTAACTCCTTACCTTGTGGGTGAGGAACAGGAGGGTGGAGGAGATGGCAAGACCTATAATCTATGACCCAACAGGGACTGCACCAGGGCTGCTGATTCCCGGCCCAGAACTCTTTCCCTTGACCAGAAATCCAGCCTCCCAGCCCAGGGACTATTCACTTTGTAAGGCTGTGAAAGTCCCCCTGGACGTATCCCACAACCCGACCTCTAGCACATTGATGTTGTGCACCTGGCCAGTTTTGCCCATGATGTAGGTGAGCATTCCGCACCGAAGGGAACTTGGTTAAGGTTCGCCCTGGGTGAGTCTCCGGGAAACTGGCCGGGGCTGGCATTCTAAACCTCCTCGCCCGTCAGTGAGCTGGTGGCACCTGCGCTAGGGATGCTAAGACTCCTCCATACCCAGCAGATTCAACCACGTGTTCTTTACTTGTGGGAATAATGCCTTGCATAAAACACGCCCTATCTGACCTTTGGGGACATGGGACACAGATCACGTGTATAAAGGCTCCGGTCAAATGCTAGAAAATTGACAAACATCCTTGCCTAGGAAGAGAGCCACAAGACGGAGACAGGAGGGCTTCTGAAGCCAATCGAGTCTCGACCTGGAGGGCAAGATGGTGCAGCCTTTTCCGTTCTCGGCCGTGTTTGCAGTGAGGATGCCACAAACTGCGTGGAGCTTTTCGGGACTTCCCTGAGGCTTGTCACGAGGGCAAAGGCCTGACCCTTGGAGGCTTGGGTTTACAAGATGATCAGTGTTCCTCCCCTTGGTGTGTTTAAGGACAGCGGCTCCAGGATCACAGCTCCAGAAACAGACATCCTAGGAAACCGCAACAGGTTTGCACGATATCTCTTCTTCCGTGGAGTTCCCCGTGGCAGGTGCTTTCTGAAGGGCCGGTTGAGTTCTGAGTCTCCCTTCGACTGGATTAAGGTGATCCCTCACCTATCTCGGGAGTTACATTCCAGAGACCCCCGAGATAGGTGGAAATCGGGAAGTAGCAGCGTTGTATTTATTGTATTATTTGTATATACTTTAAGGCTTTATAAACTCCTCCCACACTCCCATAAACCTTTCCCACTGAACCTTTCCCAGGGCTCCCTAAACCCCCATCTTATTCACCTTTCCCACACTCTTACAAACACTTCGTATGCTCTTAAACACTTTCTCACTCTAAACCTACGTAATTTTAACAACGTATAAACTTCTGTCTGGGGACTCACCAGTGAAGTGTACAGCCGCCCCTCAGTACAGCTCCATTCACTGATTGCGGCTTCACTGGAACCCTCGATAGAGCGAGGCCGCGGTAACTGAGTCGCGATATAGCGAGGGTCGGCTGTACTTCCAGTTAACATCCTGGGATTCCGTCACTCCACCCAAACATCGGGGTCCTCTGACCCACTCCCCATTCCCTTATAGAAATGCATCCACCCAAGTTTCTTGTAAGAACAGTTTCTTTCTTCATCTAGCACGGAGTGGGAGAGAACAGGAGCCTGCTCCTAGAGGAGTGTGGTGTGCTAGAAATCGCCTTTTCTCGGGATCTGCAGACCTGTGCTGGATGACTGTGCAGACCATGGCGTCCTTGCCGAGCCGTGTGACTGTGAGGAGAGAGTTGGACCATGTTTATGCTCCCTGACAACTTTGACATCCTATGGATCTAGGATGTCAATCACGGAGATGGCTACCAAGTTCTGTGCCTGGCACTCTGCCTAGCACACAGTGGTGGCCTGAACACGTGGCCGCTGAATGAAGATGTGAATGAATGAAAGTATCGCTCTCAGCAGACACCCTCTCCACGACCCCACAGACAGAGTCTGTGGGGCCCAGCACCCTGGTTAATGCACCCCCATGGCCAGAAGGCTGCCACGTGGCTGAGATGCCACTTGTCCTGCTCTGCAGAGATGAAAGCAGAACACTGTGTCCTTGTGACCCTGGTCTGTCTTGGCACGGGGTGGGCGACTGAGATCTTGGTGATAGCACATATGAGCAACCTCTTGCCTTGAGCGTCTCAATTCTGCCCTTTGTCTTGGGGGGATGGACCTTGGCATGGAGTCAGGGTCGGGCCGCTTTGTTCCTGGGTTCCCAGCGGGCAGGCATGGCTTCCCAGTGTGTGTGTGTGTGTGTGTGTGTGTGCACGCACGCGCGCGCATTTGTGTGCACGCAGAGCCTAGAGTGAGAGATGAGGGTCCTTAAAAAATCTGATGGGTGGTACCTTCTGGTGGGGGCCAAGGAAGTCACCTGGAGTTCGCATAGAGCCCCTCACACCTCTGAATGCTGGTGGAAAAAAACAGTAAAGGAAAGAACTAAACCAACCAACCGATGTTTCTCTCTCCCCCTACTCTCCCTCTCCTCCTCTCTCTCTGTCTTCCTCTCCCTTCCTTTATCTCTAAAAAACAATGAAAATAATAATGTCCACAGGTAAGGATAAAAAGACAAAAGTCCTACCCAGCACCCTCCCACCCCACCCCCGCAGAGGAGCGTCCCTGGTTGGGCAGTCCCATGGAATGGCCCCCCTTCGCCCCCACCCACAACCGTGGTCTCTAACACGGGGCTCTGACACCCGGGAGACCTCCTGTTTGTGTCCTGGTTTGCTTATCTCCCCTTCCTGTGATATTGGCCTTTGGTACGTGTTCTGTAATTATTTTAATTACAAAATCAGTCACCTGAAGGCAAAGCAGACACATGTCACCTCCGCTCACCTTTTCCCTGAAACCCCCATTCCCTGCACCACAGGAGGAGCCCGCCAGGGCTGCCCCCACCTGGAGACACCACCTGCAATCCCTGGTTTTCTTTCCCGAGTCTCAGCCTAGGTGAGACGAAGAAAAATCAGAGATTATTCTGAAGACAGTGACTAGATTTGTGAAAAGAGCTACAAGGAACTCAGGCGTCCCAAACCCTGTCCTGATCTACCCGAAAGGTTAAAATGTGAAAGAGAAAGTCCACTTTCCTTGCAGAGCTCAAGGCTTAGCTACACGACATTGCATATACGTGTACATGGGCTCATCACTGAAGAGAATTTTTCAGTTAGTCGTCTAGAGGTGGTGAGATTCTGGTGGGCGGTCTGGTTCTCGGAACACTAGGAACTGTCTGTCCCTGAAATATTAAGGTTTCCTAGTTTAGATGAGTAGCCAAAGGACAGATCCCTGGAGGACTGACCAGCTCCCTCCTCAGCAAAGTGAACACGACCCAGGTCCCAGGATGT